TTTCTCACTTAGGGGATACCCACGCTGGTATACAGACATGACTGGAACTTCGAACATCTCTTTGTGGACATCAAGAACAAAATGGCACAGGTGGTCATGATAAACCCTCACTTGCAGGGTTGTTCCATCCACATACGTAAGGACAGTACAATCTCATCCTGGTGTCTGCTATGAGCACCAGGCTTTCTGACTCCCTGAGGAGCTTAGGGATCCCAGAGCTCAGAGAGGCAAGCAGRATGGCAGATCACCAAACTTTCTTGATGAGAACAGACCAGCCCCTTGGGGGTTGTTTTCTCAATGATGATATCAATGTCCAGCAGCAGATCAGCAGCTGCTTCAGGTGCTAAAGGTTACTCCTGCTCCTTAGGTTCTGCTACCGACAAGTGGAGAGGCTCTTGTGCCTCTGTGTGTCCTCATGGATCATGTGGAGGATTCAGTTAACTTGGACCCATTTCTGTGCAAAGTCTGAAAGGCTGCGGCACTCAGCATCAGCTCAAGCACAAGCATCAGCTCTTACCACAAGTGCTGGATAGTTGGCCCGCCTGTGCTGGCAGCTCACAGTTAGGCTCTCCAAGTAAGAGAAGCAATAGCCTGACCCAAGACTCTGTCCTGATTTTGGTTTTAGAGCCCCCTCCCCAACTCAGCCATGGGTGCCATCAGTGGAGAGCTTCGGTCCTACAGCGATGCCTGTGAAGCACTGTCTATCATAGAGGTCACTCTGGGCTTTCTAGGCACAGCTGGTGGGGATCCAAATATGCATCTGAATGTGTATGTCCAAGACATCCTGCGAATGAGCGACCAAACAACTCCGGTTTTAAAGGTAGGTCTTGTGTGCTTTTCAAGGAGAATCAGCATCACCTGGTCTTAGTTTCCTGCCAGAATGCCACCACGCAGGAGCCTGGTGCAGGCATCTGTGGAAAGGGGTGGTCAGGAACCCCACCCCTCACCAGTCCACAGAATTTCAGTGCACACTGGGGACAGGAGAGGCAGGGACGCTCAGTGCTGACCACCTAGTAGAGCAGGATGCACAGGTGACTGAGGACATTGACTACCTGCTCACTGCGTGATACTCACAGTTACACGCTGCTGTAGGAGGGGGAGACTCTCAGATGTTTCCAAGATGAGGCAGGTAGACTCGTGGATGGAACAGAGATGGCCTCATGATGAAAACAGACAACATTAGGGAGAAGTGCCCTTGGGTACCACTCAGAGTGAGCCTTCACTCCTACTTGGGACTCTCTTCCTTTTCCAGGCTTTAAGCAGATGTCAGTTAAAACA